GGGGGGGTCACTCGGAGACCGGCAGTTCCTCGGAAAACTGGAAGCGGGAAAGGAAGCGAGCCGAGTCGGAACGCCGTCGGGTTGCCTGGAAACCTATCAGTTTGGCTGGATTCTATTTTTGCGTAGATACACACGAAGAGTAGATGGGTGTCGAGGGAGCTCTTGAAATAACAATGTTGTTGAAAGTTTTCATTTCGTATGCAAGTGCGTCTGATGAAGAGATTGGTCGGTTCGTCTCCCCCGAAGACGACTATCTGTCCCCGCTTTTCTGCAGCCCCTTTTGCTTTAATGCAACTTTCTGGTTGACGCATTCCACGAGTCATCCTCCCTGGTTTCCGGTGGAAACGAGCTGAGCTTTTTACGTCATGCCATTTGGCGAGTTAAAACCAAATTAACAAATTTATTTGTCTCATTCCATATCTAATTATGACTAAAAGCGTAAAAAAAATCTGTATACAGTAGGGTCCAAAAGTCTGAGTCCACAACCAAAAACTGTTTATATCAACATTTATAGAATGTTCTAACAAGATGACTGAATTTTTCACCAATATGCAAGGCAATTAATACAAGTCTATTAATGGAAGTTGACAAAAGCTTAATCGAAGGTATGAAGACCAAGATAGTGTGGCATTTAGTGTGTTCCTGGTTCATACTAGAGTTTATTTGCATTTACTGACAGTATAAATGCACCATTATGGGGTATAACCACATTTTCTCTCTACCACTGGTTGTCCTCTGTCTTACAGCGATTCTACACTTTTTGCAGAATTTAAGAATCCATGTAATTCCAGCACCCTTTCAGCAACCCCAGAGTGTCTTTTATTGTTAAAGAATGCTTCCTTTTTTGAATGTTCTCAAAAATGTCGAGTGCTTTTGAGGCCTGGTTACTGTAAATGAGGAAAAGTCATGCATTCAGCATTCGGTTATCTTCTTTCCACTTCGAATGGGCCTGAAACACCTTCGGCACGGGCTTAGGATTGTAGTTCTGCTGAAAGAGTAATACTCTTCCGCACATCTTTAAGCCTCTGCCGAAAAGAGGGGTACCCAACTTTGGTCAATTTGTAGACCAAAGAGAGTCAAATTGATGGCAACACCTCAAGACCAGCACATCAATTTAACTTCGACAAAAGGCAAACAATGATCCGCAGTCAAGAGTGAAAGCCAGCTGAACAAGGAATGATTTATCACAGTTAGCAAAAGTACAGTAAAAAAGACTGTTGAGCTTACTTCCATTTCGAGTGGAAGTGTTGCGTGAAGACATTCAAAGGTCGGTTCCACCAGAAGACGACGGCGC